AACGTCATAAATACAAGTACGTTACTACGTATCAACTGCACGAAAGGAAAATTGTCCCTGCAAGCCCTTATAGCTCAAGACTGATGCCGTTTGGACGCGCTCACTTTTGGCTGCGGGCTCATTTATGAAGTGCCTAGATCACCAAATCCGCTGAAAACTTGTATACAGGGGTAATTTAACATCCTGATTACGAATATGACATTCATTCTTGGCGCTGGCGCTGGAGGACACTACGATTACCTCCTGGGCTCAGCCTTAGCAGAGCGCAGATAATCGTAGTGCTCTCCATTAGCGCCAGCGCCAAGAAAGAATGTCGGATGTGTGGCGATTCTATCCGTCGACGGTTAGTAGGTCGTCGCCGATTCTTGGCGCTGGCGCTTATGGAGAGCACCACGATTATCCTCGCTCTGCTAAGGCCGAGACTAGGAGAAAACCGTAGTGTCCTCCATTAGCGCCAGCGCCAAGAATGAATGTCATATTCGTAATCAGGATGTTGAATTACCCCTGTGTACAAGTTTTTAGCGGATTTGGTGATCTAGGCACTTCAAAAATGAGCCGGCAGCCAAAAGTAAGCGCGTCTAAACGGCATCAGCCGTAGCCCAAGATGTGAGAGATCGACGGAAAATTACAATTGAGTGCGCCCTACCATAGGTATTTCGAATGGGCTCAGCTTGGGTGTGGAGCGTTACTTCTCAGTCGCGACATCGCAAAAACGAGTTAGCGTGGGAGGTAGAGTCGTCGAGCGGTTCAGCCGTCGTATTGAGGTGGCAGCGGCGCCGTGCGGTGACTGCGCATCTCCCCCAGTAAGCCTCTTCTTGCATGCACGCGATCGGGGCTCAGATGCAAAAAATGAAGGATAAGCTCTGATACCACATCTATATCGCCCGCGCTGCAGGGAACTGTTATGCAGAATAAGAGCCATCTAGTCTGATTCATCTTCATCTCGACTACCGCCTGTCGACAAGTGACGTTAGAAAGGAATGTTCATAACGGTCAATCTAGCGGGATGGGCAATCTGATACAGGCGGTGGAAATGGGTTGAGACGAGAATATCATTTGTGGGCTACACGAAAGTAATCAAGAAACAACAACAACAACAACAACAACAACAACAACAACAACAACAACAACAACAACAACAACAACAACAACAACAACAACAACAACAACAACAACAACAACAACAACAACAACAACAACAACAACAACAACAACAACAACAACCAGAAGATAATGTTGCAATCCAGCGGGGTAGTGTCGGAAGGCATGGAATGAGCCCACGGAGGGTGAGAGAGGATCACTGATAGAAGTGATAGCGACCACATGGGATAAACAGGAGTCTGTCTCTACATTTCTTACGCAAAATGCGGTCACTGTCGCTAAAATACCAATGGCCAGAGGCTCATTGAGTGAACATCTTTGATTCGTTCCCAATACAATGAAATATAGATTGATTCCATCGCTAGACTCTTAAGATCCAACGAAGTGTAAATGCGTATTTGTTAGTGATGACTGATAAAGGCCATTAGGACTTGAATATAGTCCAGTACGCAGCGGACGAAGGGGCGGATCAGGCGGGATGTGTTTGGTGCGGTGCCAAACGCGTTCTCCACCAGCTTGTTGAAGCGAGCAAGTGACAAGACTGTATCATATCGTTCGTATCACTCGTTTTCTACCACTTATTGTCGCATACTACTTTAATAGAGCCGCGGCACTACTTAGATGTAAGAACATCTTAACACTCATCTTAACCGCCATTCCTTACCATCAAAACGTTTTTAACCACTGAAACGTCCAGTTGTTGAGGATTACTTCCGTTCTGCGGCGAGTGCGGCAGAATAGGCGCATCAACTGGGGGCAACCGCACCCAGACCCAACCTACTCAACCTGGCAGCAGCGCTTCGTCGACAACGTTTGCATCGATGACGCAAACCGCGATAGCACTATAAGCATCCACTACTCTTCTTTGCACCGTTTGAGTTTCGCAGATAGGTGCTACTCCATCTCAAAACCACCCTTTTCAGTTTCATGGTGATGACATTGTGTGGAAAAGACCTTATGTCTCTGAAACGTCAAGCCGGTAGACCGTTCTCAGAAAGCACTATACTAAGGCTTGCTATAAGCACGCTGTATGCCATAAAACAGGTGCTCATCCTTAGATGTATGTAAATCGCGTCTAGAAGATTATTAGATTTCAGATACATGAAATCGGCTATGTTCATCGCGACGTCAAACCGGGGAACTGCATGATAGGAAAATATGGACGGGACTCAAGAATGATCTACCTGATAGACTTCGGTAACTGTGCTGTTTAATTACTTCTGTGCACTCAGATAATAATCCCCCTTTTAGTTGCACCAGCTAATCGATCCTGGGAGAACGAAAAACCTCGTTCGCCTGGGCAGGATGCGCTCCGGAGGGGGGGGGAGGGGGTGCGCGTTAGCGAGCAACTTACCAATGTCATATCTCCACCAAAAATAAAACGAATAGTGATCAAGATACTTTAAGGTATGGCCCGCTCTTTCGTGGCTAAAGACGAAAATGGCAAACTCGCCATTCGGAAACCACGAGATGGTG